TCACCTCATAAAGGAGGGGCCGAGGATGGGACCTCTCGCTCCCTATCACCACCTATTAGGATTGGCCCTGAAGAAAGGAGGTGAACCAGCACAAGACTGTGCCGCCCACCCCCAGCTCCCCGTGCCGTCCCAACAGGAGACCATGGGCAACGGTACTGAAAGCCGCTGAGAGATCAAAGCGACCAAGGATGGTCGCACCACCACCATCCCGCTCCTGCCAGAGATCATCCATAAGCGCGACCAATGCTGTTTCTGTCCCATAACTGGGCCTGAAACCTGACTGAAAAGGGTCCAGATAATCCGTTTCCTCCAGAACCCTTTGGAGCTGTAAAGCCACCACTTTCTCAACCACCTTCCCCAAAAAGGGGAGGTGGGAGACTGGATGAAAATTGTTCAGTATGGTAGGATCCAGGGAGGGTTTCTTGAGGAGGGGTTAACCAACTCTCCTTGAAAGCAGCGGGAAACACTCCCTCCTGCAAGGATGTAGTAAGCATCGCCTGGATCCAACCGCATGTCACTTCCTGAGCTGCTTTCACCAGCCAGGAGGGGCATGGGTCAAGATGGCAAGTGGTGGCCTTCACAGTCCCTAGGACCCTGTCCACTCCGTCAGGAGCAACAGGATCAAATTGTTCCCAGATAACTGGGTAAGAATGGTCCCCCGGTAACTCCCCAGACCCTGCCCCATGCTCGGAGTCTAACTTGGAATGAATCTGAGCGACTTTGTCCTGCAGATGCTCTGAAAATTCCTCCGCACAGCCCTGCAAATGAACCCCCACATCCCCCTTGCCAAGGAGGGACATATGGGTATTTTGGGGTATTTTTATATGTTTATATTGTTTTATATGTTTATATTGTTAGCTGCCTAGAGTCTGCAGAAATGGATGACATACAAGCTAAGTAAATCAGTAAATGTATTTTTGTTTAAGTTTTTGTTAGATTTTATGGTTTATGTCTGTAAGTGCTGTTGCAAACCAACTCACGTGTACATACAGAATACAGAAAGATTTTCTATACAGAAAATATATAGTTCCACCCAGATGATTCCAACCTGGGGCCAAGTCCAAGGCCCACGTTTATTGGCCTATAATTCCCATCATTCCTCAATCAATCCAAATACTGGTTATGCTTGTCTGAAGTTATGGGAATTGCAGTCCACCATACCTGGATGGGGAAGTCTGATCTTGATTATGGATTCCTTCATCATCATAGAAAAGCATCACTTAAGTCATAATTTAGTTTTGAAACACTTTTGATACAAAAGTGGCCTTCTCCTGCGCACTGGCAATTTTGTGTTCTCTAGATGGGTTGAGATTGTAACTCCCTAAATTACTAGCCAATATCAAGAATACCCCAATCTAATTATTTCCAAAGGAACAACTATCCATTGGAACACACTTGATATAATCAAAGTACTGTATTCTCAGCAGCAAAAAGAGGGTAAGTATTATTTAATGCTATTATTATATTGTTTTAAGAGTTTGTTGCTATGCAGGGATTCTTAGAACATTAATGACATTTTAAAAGTATTAATATAGTAAAATACTTTTCTTTAAATGTGCTGCCTTTTCATATCGAGAAGGATTTACACATGATACTAAAATGTGGAATGGAAAAAACAAGCTCTATTAGATGCCAAGTTACTCCACGATGGCATTACTGATCTCTATTTCCTTATTATTTGGACACTATCCACTCCAGCATAACCATTCCAGTAAGGAGGCTGGTACTAGAGTGTTTCTATCAAGTATGATGAAGAAGAACTGATCTGTGCTACGGCTGTAGGACAGACAAATCATTTTTTTGAGATGAGAGGTAAGAGGTGTGAAAAATGCCTCAAACATGGTATGCTGGATGGTTTTGATCTTGCTTCTCAGATACCTATTTTTTTTCTAAAGAGCAGGTAGCAGGAAGTACCAACTTGGTCTGTAGAAATCAGCCTTTCCCAATCTTGCTGTCTTTAGATGTGTAGGCTTGCAACTTGGCCATCATACTGGCAATCCTGGGAATTGCAACTGCAACACACTTGGAATTTACTGCTTTGGGGGATGGCTTGTGTTTAGAGAGCCCTACAGATCACAACCACAGCTATCATTCAACTAAAACTAGGAGAATGTAAACTTATATTCTTTTGAATGCATGTAGCTACCTTTTCGAGTACTTTGGCTATTCGAGTACCAACTTGTTCTAAAGACTGTGGTGGATAACGGTCTTTTCCAAGATTCTGCAATACCTGTGAATCAAGAAAAAAACAAACATTCTGATATAATTGCCATCCAATTGGTCTGGCAGATTCTTCTGAACATATAGTCTCTTTCCTTCTAAAAGGCTGAGCCCAATATTCTTGCAGATTTCTATTCTGCAATTAACACACGTTTAAAAAATTACTACTTCCAAATTTGTGCATATAAAAAGCTTTAAGAATGTTTTAGTTCAATTATTAAGATTTACAAGCCTGGAATCCTCAAATTAGAAAAGTTTAAAAAACTAATGAGCAGATCCCATGATAAAATCAAGTACCCATGGTGAGTCTTCCAGAAATTAGATAATACAACTTTGACTAAGATTGGGTACCCATTTTTCCTATGGATCTATTATTCACAAATAATTTTATTCTTTCCCCACCTGCCCAGTGTAGTCTTATTCTCTGCAAACTAAATTCTCCAAAACCATAGATTTCATGCCTGAAAATAGGAAAGTTAAATGAATACAGGTATTTGTTTCATGAAATCTGATGATATAATCTGATTTTCTAAACGTGAACAGAAATGTAAATACTGTTGCCTCCTGAATGCCAGATAATATAGAACACTGAAAAGTATCTGTGAAGATAATGTGAAATTATCCAAAATAATTTTTATATGCAGTTAAGCTGCATAGTAGGGAACTAGCAAAACAAAGCTATCTGCCATTGTTTTATGGAAGTGGTAAGAAGGTAGATAAGCACATTCTATAACTGAAATTTCTGATTTTCTTTTATGAGCACTTCTGCATGGTTTTGTTAGAGTGTTATTGGAATATGGTTCATTCAGTCAAAACATCTGATCCTCACGTATGGTTAGCTTGCTTGTCAATGTTCTGTATGGGTACACTATCATTACAACATAACATCATGAGCTAGCCCTCTATTCATGCTAAATAAATATCCAATGGATAGCAGTACGTGTGCAGTGTTCTTATAGTACATACTCTTTTTCTGGGCATCTGATTTCATGTTCAAGTATCAATAGATTCACAGGAAATTTCTTGAGATGATATAATTATATATTTTAAATCCATCAGTAAGCAGTTTATTAACATCAAGTCTGTACATGCTGCTGAGCAACTAATGGCACAGAATTGAGAAATTGTTAACCATAGTGAACATTTCTCTAGAAAAAGATGTGTAGCTTTCTATCAGCCAAGTTCCGTATGGATGTACTGACATCAGTAACTCATGAATAAATTAAGCAATACTGATTTCAAATTAGTCTGTTCTAAACATGCTAAGTTTAGATCAACCCCATACGAGAGCACAATCCTACCTCTTTCAGTTGATTCTCTCCCATGTAATGGAGACTGGCTCGATTGGCAACACCATGGAGATGATCCAATGTATGCATGCTGGCAGGCAGGTTGCCATTGCAGAGAGGCTCCATGGCTGGCTCTTGCAGGGGAGTGGCAAAATCAATGTGCTCTGTGATGCTACAAAAGACGGAGGATCATTACAATATTAAAGGAAGCAAACATATTACAATTGAAACCATTTCTAACAGAGATTTACTTCAGAAGCAGTATACCTGACTCACATTTTGCAGAAGATTTTCTAATGTTTCTATCAACTATTGGAACATTCCCCTACAAAAAAAAGTTTATGTGAACAGCAAGTGATCCACTCCAGTACTGTCTTTCCTTACATCATTCTGAAATTATACCAAAAGCAATCAGAGGTTTTCCTACATGTAAATTGTTACAGGGAGGGGAAAGACTCCTGCAGATGAGTTTGATTCTGTATTCTTTGCAGCCCTTTGCATTTGCTTTCTTCTGGGATATTGTTTCCACTCCCTAAGCTGGCATACAGCCCTCCTCCCTATGACTGCTAAATTATGGACCAACTCTGCACAGGAAAACATCAGCAAGTGCAGAGTCAAAGATTAAATATCTCTGAAATTAGTGGGCCTTCATACCCAAGAACCTCTGTATTGTTAGGTTTAAGATTCAGCCTATTGAGACTCAGAACCTCAACACATCTCCTGTTTCCCCTGAAGCTAAGATGTATAACTGAGTGACATCAGCATACTGATAATACCTGGTTCCATGCTGACAGATGACCTGCCCCGGTGGCTTCATGTTAAAATAGGAGGAGTATGTCAATCCTGAGACACTGGACAATGATGGATAATATGTTAATCTTAGGCCAAATTAAGTTACAAATCATTCACAGCTTGATAAAGTAATCATGGTTTTATTACAGACAGTGTCCTAGGATTTTCCAGGTCTATCTACCATTTTACTGGTACCTGACAGTGAGATTTAATGTAGCATCAAACACAATTTTAAACTACAGTACTGTCCAAAAGTTTTAGGCAGGTGTGGAAAAATGCTGTAAAGTAAGAATGCTTTCAAAAAT